TTCTCGCGACGGAACGCGCGCCAAGGCGTTCGAACGATTTCGTCACGCGCGCGCGGAGCCCTTTTGGTAGCATGTTCTGAAAACGTTGAAAAACCAAGGGTTCTTATAAGAGTTCGCAAGAACACACGCGCATGCTTTTTTTGTGTCTTCCTTCTTTGTCTTGAAAACCCTTGTTGCGGAACCATTTTTTCCAATGTTCTTTGGGCGCTCGATTTTGACATCCTTCCGAAACCGAATGTTTTTGAAGGATTTCGGCATGCGCTCGCGACGACGCGCGCGTGTGCACTTCGTTTCATTTGTTGCAGTTGCAGCGGATTTATGGCAGAATCATGATTTTTGATAAGCGAGTGCGCGCGCATGATTTTTTGTTGCAAAGGATGGCGGAAAGGGGGGGTCGATGCCGGCTGGCCTTGGATGGTACGGACTCATATCTATGATGGACGATGGGGCAGAATCGCGTTGAAATTGCAATGCGAAAAGGTGGATCGATAAAGCCGGGGTGGTGGTGGTGGTGGTGGTGGTGGATCCTAACTCTTTTTCCGAAAGGAAAATCAATGCTGTGCAAGCTATGTGGTGCAGCCTAAATGGTGCGGTCTATGTGATGAAATATAAGTTGTGCGCTCTATGTGGTGCAATCTATGTGGCGCAATCTAAGTGTTGCACTTTCACATATGCGGTGCACCTTGGGTGGTGCAGCCCATGTTGCGCAACCCATGTTGTGCAAGGTCGGGCGGAGACGAGGCGGCGACGGCGGCCTCATAACCGCCAGACTGGACAGGCCCAGACGACGATCGGCGACGAGGCGGCGACGGGGCGGCTACCGCTGCACCGCAGCCGCCAGACCGACAGACAGGTCCAGACGACGGGTGGCGACGATGCGGCGACGGCGGCCGCATAATCGCCAGACCGAAAACGTAGCCCAGACGACGGGCGGCGACGATGCGTCAACGGGGCGGCGACGGCGGCCCCGCCATACCGAAGACACGGCCCAGTTCCTTAGAACACAAGCAAGAACCTCTAAGTGTAAACAGTGTTTGGGGAATGACCCCCCTGGTCGCACCCACGGGCGTGTCAGCAGAGCAGGCTGTGCATTCCGCCTCGTAACCCTCATTAGGTATGTGCATAAGGCTTACACGTCGCAGTATTTACAGGGATGGAGAACATGAAGTTTGCAAATGGGGCTCCCGTATTAGCACCACGCACTTTCGCCGTACAAGTTTGCAGCAACTAGAAGGAAGGAGTGCAGACCGTTTTCAAAATGGAGCTCCCGCCCCAGCGCCGCGCACAGTCGTCTTGGAACATTGCAGCAGCTACAATGATAAGGCGGGCGCTTTCAAAATGAAGCCCCCCGCCTTAGCGCCGCGCGCATTCGTCTTACAAGCCAACAGAAGCTATACGGATGGATCATCAGTCGTTGCTTTAAGCTCTCGCTGTAGCACCATGCACAATCGTCTTCAAAGTCAACCACCACTTCACTGATGGGGATAGCCTCTTTCCACAATTGGGCTACCGCCTTAGCGCCGCGCGCACTCGTCTTACACGTTTGCAACAAATACAAGGATGCAGGGCGGTTCCTCTTCAACCTTGGGCTCTTGCTTGAAATCTCCTTTTGAACAAGGGGCTTTAACATATGTAGCAGGTGCGCGGGTTGATGGTGGTTCTTTTTTGCATACTGGGCTATCGTTTTAGACTTCCTCGAGGTTCAAGACCAGAAGAGTAACCTTGCGCAAGGGGTCAAGACGGGGATCTCGCTGGACACCTGGCTGACATGCATGAGCATACGTTTTTTGCATTACTGATTATGTGCTTCAGGGGTCCTGTTCAAAGCGGGTCTCTCGCCTGAACGGCAGGCCCATGTGGTGCAGCTCTTTCTAAGGGGGCGCCTCTTGCAGTGAGAAGCAATGCTTTGAGGAACTTGTGTGGAAGGGGGCTTGGGACGGGAGGGTGTATTGCAGCATCGCTGATGCATCTTGGGCTTGCTCTGGTCCTCCTCCTCCTCCTCCTCCTCCTCCTCCTCCTCCTCCTCCTCTCTCCTCCACCCCCCCCCGCCCCCCGTCGGGGATCGTGCACAAACAAGCCTGGAGCCAAAAGGGCTACAGCGTGGAGGGGCGAAGAAAAAGCGAGCGGCGCAACGGGGGTGAGGTGGACGGGGCGCACGAAGGGATGTACAGAGGTCGGTAGAGAGGAGAGGTGGGTGGAGGGTGGATGGATGAGGGGAGGGCGGATGGAAGAACCAACAACTGCATAAACTCACGCTTTCGGAGGCCCGCGCTGATTTCCTGGATCGGCGCTGGGCCCCCGCCCCTGGCGCGCGGAACGCACCAGGGGCGCCGCCGGAGGCGTTGCCAGTGCCACTCCGAGAGGTCTGCGCGGACCTCCGAAAGCTTATGCGATTCTGCAGGCGTAGAACCTTGAGCCAGGACGCGTAGATGGAGAGGAGACGGCTAGGAGTGAGGAAGCGGAGGAGATGGAACTACCCATAGACGTGGAGACATATGTGCAAGCGCGAATCAGGAGATGGACAGGAGGGGAGGCGGCGGAGGATATGGAGATGGATTTAGAGGCAGGAGAAGGGGCAGGAGGAGGAAGATAAATGATAAGAGGAACACGACCCAAAGAAACCCAGGATGCGTCAAGAATGCTGCAATACACCCTCCCGTCCACGGCTCCCTCCTCGCAACTCCCTACCAGCATTCCTCTCAACTGCGGGAAGCGCCCCCCGTGAACGATGATCGCTTGGTGGGGCTGCCGCTCAGGCGAGACCCCGTGCTGTAAGAACTTCATCGTCGATCTAGCTCGAATGATACAGTCAGGTCACGTGTTGATTTTGCATGCAGCGTCCATCGATAACCTTGTGTTGAAAAGGGTCTGCCCTCCATCCGTGCAAGTGTGGCCCAATTCTCAAAACATGGGAGCGGACTTCGCAGACATTTCAACGACAACCCCGTTTAGAAGAACAGCAGCCCTCCGTCCGTGTAGCTCTTGCCTGATCTGGAACTCCCAGTCGCAGAAGTTGAGGACATCGGAACGGAGAGAACCGCATCTTGGAAACTACCAGCGCTCCATCCATGTAATAGTTTTTTTTGTTTTGGTGTGTATATATATATAACGAAGGATCGCGGCACTTCATCCATATCATCTGTTCGAAGCTAAAGCTTCAGAACAACAACATGCAAGGACATCTCAAGCGAAACGCACAACCTGGTCTACGGACGCGCCAGGTGGTGCGACACGGGAGATTGTTGAGGACGATGGAATTGGGAAGGAAAAGCATTTGGGACAGGGGTAGGAGAGGAATGATAGGACTGGCAAAAACTGGGAGTGGGAATGCATTAGGACGTCTGCGCGGAAGTGCGAATATTCTGGCCACGCCCTCCTTGTGCCTCGCAGGCAGGATATCCATCCTGGACAGCTTCCAGGGGTGCCGCGGGCGAAAGCGCTGCCGCCACGTTTCCTCCCTTCCTCCTCCTCCTCCTCCTCTTCCTCCTCCTCCTCCTCCTCCTCCTCCTCCTCCTCCTCCCTCCTCCACAATTACTCAATATGAATGCTGCTCTCCCTCTTCCCCTGATGACGGCTTGAATGTGTTAGCCCCCCCCTCCGCGTACTGTTTTTTACACACAGGATTCCCCGGAGGTGGGTTTTCGCTTGCATTTTTTCCAAAATGCTGCTCTCGCTGAGGCGCCGGCCTCATCCCGCTCGTTTCGAATCGTGCTCCCGCTGCAGCGCTGGCCTCATTTCCGTGCTTCCGCTCGTTCCGAATCGTGCTCCCGCTGCAGCGCTGGCCTCATTTCCGCATTTCCGCTCGTTCCGACTCGTGCTCCCGCTGCAGCGCTGGCGTCATTTCCGGTGCCATGCCACGGCATGCAATGCAATGCTAGGTTGATCCTACGCTTTGCGGTGCTCTTCTACGCCATGCCATGCCGTGCTCTACAATGCATCGCGTACCCTTTCGGGATCATTGCCCTGCTCGACATCCGACTGTGCGAGTAGAGAGGGGATCTACGCCATGGTAAGGGATGGGAGGGAGGGGTAGGGTGTCAGATATGACGCGAGCGCACCTAGCTTGTCCTTTCCCCCTCCCTCATTTCCTCCTTCCTTCCTTCCTTTCTTCCTTTCCACCCTCCCTCTTCTTTTTGCCTCGTCGCTAATCTCTCCTCTCTGCTCTCTCCTCGCTCCCTCCCTTCCTCCGCCCTGCCTGCTCCTGTCTCCCTCCCTCCTCCTCCTCCTCCTTTTCATGGTCCTCTTCTTCTTCCTCCTCCTCCTCCTCCTCCTACTCCTCCTCCTTCCCCTCCTCCTTCCCCTCCTCCTTCCCCTCCTCCTCCCCCTCCTCCTTCCCCTCCTCCTCCTCCTCCTCCTCCTCCTCCTCCTCCTCCTCCTCCTCCTCCTCCTCCTCCCTCCTCCCTCTCCCTCCCCCCCTCCTCCCTCCTCCCTCCTCCTCCTCCTCCCTCCCCTCCTCCCTCCCCCCTCTCTCCTCCCTCCCTCCCTCCCTCCCTCCCTCCCCTCCTCCCTCCCCCTCCTCCCTCCCTCCCTCCCTCCCCTCCCTCTCCTCCTCCTCCTCCTCCCTCCCTCCTCCTCCTCCTCCTCTCCTCCTCCTCCCTCCTTGCCTTCGCCCTGCCCTCCCTCCCTCCCCCCCCTCCTCCCTCCCCCCCTCCCTGCTTCCTCCCTCCCTCCCCCCCCTCCTCCCTCCCCCCTCCCTCAACGAGGGCCCAGCCGAATGCTCGTGCCTAGTGTTTAGATAATGTAACTTTGCATCACGATCAGTCTTACCCTAGCCTATCCTATCCCATCCTATCCTATCCTATCCTTTTCCTCCTCCTCCTCCTCCCCTCCTCCTCTACTTCTACCTATACCTCCTCCTCCTCCTCTGCTCCTTCTCCTCCTCCTCCTCCTCCTCCTCCTCCTCCTCCTCCTTCCTCCTCTTCCTCATTGTCGTCCTTCTCCTCCTTCTCCTCCTCCTCCTTCTCCTCCTCCTCTCCTCCCTCCCCCCTCCCTCCCTCCCTCCCTCCTCCTCCTCCAGGGGCCGAAGCCTCACGCCGCGGCCAGGCAGCTCAGGAGCAACAGGGCCGCAACGGAGCCCGCCGCGCGCTGGGCACTGCTCGTCTGCGCCGACGGGAACACGACGAGCTCCTCGACGCCCCCCCCTCCTCGTAGTCCTCGTCCTCGTCCTCCTCCTCCTCCTCCTCCTTCTTCCTCCCTCCTCCACCCCCTCCACCTCCTCCTCCTCCTCCTCATCTTCCCCTCCTCCTCCTTCCTCCCTCCCTCCTACTCCTTCCTCCTCCTCCTCCCGGACTTTTCCCTCCTTCCTCTTCCCCCCTCCTCCTCCACCTCCTCCTCCTCGTCCCCTTCCTCTTCCTCGCCCTCTTCCCCCCCTCCCTGAGAATAGCCCTTCCCCGTCTAGGGCGGGCTCGGCGTTTCGCCTGAGACTCCTTCCCTGCATGTGACACCGAAGCTGGAATTTTCCAACTGCTTCACGGACGGAGGGGGTGGTTTTAAAAGTGTGGATGGATGTGTGTCCAGCGCCGCGCACGTTGGTCTTATCAGTGTTGCCAACTGTTATTCGGATGGATGGGGTGGCCGTTTTCAAAACGTGGCTATCACATGAGCGTCGCGCGCATTCGTCTCAAATTAGCTGACAATGGTTACACGGATGAATGGGAGGCCGTCTTCAAAGCGTGGCTGTCGCCTTAGCACCGCGCACGCGTCTTAACAACGTCAATGGAGGACGCTTCTTTTCAAACTGTGGGTATCGTCGCAGCGCCGAGCACAGTCGCCTTAGCAGCCTCCAATCGTTACATGGATGGACGCTGATTTATGTTCAAAGTGTGGCTCTCGCCTTGACGCCGCGCGCACTTGTTTTAAGAATTTTCAGCAGTTGCGCGGATGGAGGAGGTGGGGGGGGGGCGTTTTCAAAATGTGGCTATCGCCGCATCGCTGCGCTCATTCGTCCCACACGTTTCTTCCAACACTTACACGGGTGGAGGGTGGTCCTTTTCAACCTATAACTTGCACTTGGCACCTCCCAATCCTTGTGAGCAGCAGTGTGAAAGTGTGCAACAGCTATGCGGATGGAAGGCGGCTCTTCAAATCGGGGCTCTTGCTTGAGACTTCATTCGGCTTTATGGCCGGACGTTTCATCATTGATGAACTTTGCACAGGGTGGGGCGTTTTTTGTTCGAAGCGGGGTTCTCGCTGGGGATAACACATGGCTTCGTGATCAACTCTCGTCGCCGTCTTCATAGCTGGAATCATGGGTGGCCACTCCTTCTCAAAACAGGGCTCTCACCTGAATTACATAACCATTGTGCGGTCGTCTTCCAAGGGGGCGCTTGCCGCACTGAACAAGAGCTCCTGTAGGGGCGTGGGATGGGTGGGCGTGTTGCAGCATCGTTGATGCATCTTGGGATTACTCAAAGCCTCCTCCTCCTCCTTCTCCTCCTCCTCCTCCTCCTCCTCCCCCTGCCCCTCCTCCTTCTTCTTCTCCTCCTCCTCCTTCTCCTCCTGGTCCACGGTGCCTGGAGGCGAAAAGATCCGTCGGATGCCCCCTCTTCTCCTCCCTCCTCCCTCCTCCTCCTCCTCCTCCTTCTTCTCCTCCTCTCCTCCTCCTCCTCCTCCTCCTCCTCCTCCTCCTCGCTCCTCCCCTTCCTTCCTCTTCCCTCCTCCCTCCTGCTCCCTCCTCCTCCTCCTCCTCCTCCTCGTCCTTGTCCTCCTCCTCCTTGGTGTCGCGGTCAAGAAGTCTGGTAAGGAAGACCGCGCAACGTGGCTGGAACACTTGCTCGCCACGTGCGACTGGAGCCACGTGCGACGATTCCAGAAAGGGTTCTGCTCGCAGCAAGGCCGCGTACACGATGGCGGAGTATTTCGGCGAGGTGCAATGGGTTGCCCGAGACACTGCGGATATGCATGGAGAACCCCTGGGCCCAGCCCTTCCTGTTGAACTCCGCCCCATACTTGACAGTGAGGTGGAGACAACGGCCCGTAAGATGAGATGGGGCAAAGCGAACGGCTCGGACGACGTGCCTGGAGACCTCTGGAAGGCCGTCGCTGCGCCGGGGTCGCCAACGAGATGGGCGACTGCGCTCTGCTCGAAGTGTTGGCACGAATCACTGGTGGTCGCATTTCTTGTGCATAAGGACGACGAATCTCTCTGTGGTAACTACATACCAATATGTCTTTTGCAAGCCAGCTGCAAGCTTCACGCCTCCATCTTCCTGCGGCGCCTTCAGGCAGCTGGCGCCGAGTCGCGCGTCTGGCCGACGCAGCTTGGTTCCAAGTCACAGAGCGGAACCACGGACGCCATCTTCATGGCGAGGCGCTTCTTTAACGATGCGTGGGACGCAAAGGAATCGCACCTCGCACTCGACTGAGTCAAAACCTTCGACACCGTCGGCTCCGCGGCCCTACTGCAAGCTTTGCGCCGTTTCGGGCTGCCGGACGAGATGCTGAGGGCCGTGGGCGCGATCTACACCGAGCGTCGCTTCGCTGTGCATGACGCTGGACAGACATCTGCCTCGCGAAAAGAGGAGGCAGGAATCTGCCAGGGATGCCCTCTCTCCCCGTTCTTGTTCGCCACCATGGTCATGACAGTCCTCCTGACCGATGCGAAGCATGCAACGGGGGCGGTTGCGGACGATGTCAACGGCCTCGTCTACGCAGACAACACTCTGATTGTGGCCGCGGACGAGGGCAGAGCTGCCGAATACATGCCAGTCATCTCGGATGCCGGCGCCAACTGCGGTCTGTGCTACAATTGGCGGAAGCTGGAGGTGCTGCCAGTGCGCTGCCAAGCGCCTATCTCGAAGCCCGATGGCAGCCGATTGGCCAAAAGGAGCGCATCGTGCACCTGGGAAGCGTGCTCTCATCCAACGGCAACGTCGACGCTGAGCTTTCGAGAAGGTTTGGGGCGGCGATGCTTGAGTTCGAAAATCTCGCTCGCACATAGTCTCACAGCACTCTGTCCGCGAAACATGTTCTTCAACGAATGAGTGATCTCGAAGCTTTTTCACAGCCTCCACACTGCATGGATGAAAGCAGCAGACCTGTCTAAACTTGACGCATTCGAAGCACGCTGTTTACGAAAGGTTTTAAGTATCCACATTCTTACATAAGTCACATGACACATGCTTCAGTGTTTGGCCAGGCGAGGCGAAGCCTGCAGAGCCATACCTTGATGCAGCAACAACCGAAACTTTTGGGCAAGATTGCGCGTTTCGGCGACGGCCACCCCGTGCGCGAATGTCTTTTGAAGCCCGGAAGCGTGGAGAGATCCTCGGCTGCTCCGCCGGCGCGGCCGCCCCAGACAGGTGTGGGCGCGCGAGGTGTCTAGACACGCTGTGCAGGCATGTGCACCAAGAAACATCAATGCTTCAAAGCTTGCTGCCATGCCGGCCAGCGTCTGGAAGAGCACGGCGCGAGAGTACAGCTGCTCTCGCCAGCTCCCTTCCATTGCTCATCAGCGCGCTACACGGCTTATTGATTGATCGATTGATTGATTGCTGCTGTTGCGACTGCTGCGGCTGCTCCTCCTCCTCCTCCTCCTCCTCCTCCTCCTCCTCCTCTCCTCCCCCCTCCCCTCCCCCTTCCCCCTCCCCCTCATCCCCTTCTTCCCCGTTCTCCTGCCCCCACAAGATCCGCTGACTCCGTCGCCTACGAAGGTGTGTTGACGTGCCGCGTTTTACACTTTTGTTGCCCTTCCCCAGAAAATACGGTGGCCTTCGGCCAGTCCCGCCGGAGCGCGGGAAACAAGGCTCCCAGCGGCTGCTCTGCCGAAGTAGCTTCAAGAGGATCTCTAAGGGGGCACTGGGCGGCATCAAGTCGGTCCAGAATGGCCCAAGTTGCCTCCACGTTGGCTCAAGATGCCCCCAGAAGGGCCCCCAATCCCACCAGCCCTTTGGGCGTGAGTGGTTTAGGGAGCCCGCTCTGTTCTCAACCCCCTTCTTCCCCTTCGGGGAGGGGTTTACCCCTCCCCCTCCCCCCTCCCCCTGGGCCTGGAGAGGGCGCCCCGCGGGTCGTTGGAGGGGTCTTTTTCGACTCCTGGGAGGGCTAAAATTCGACACCCCTCACGAGGATTCTGGCCCCGACGGGGGGGGGGAAGAAAAGTGCTCGCCCCATCTGTGATCGATCGCCCGAAAGATGGCCCCAAGATACCTCCCAGACCCCTCCCAAAGAGCCCCAAGAGGCCCCAAGAGGCCTCCAAGAGGCCCCCAAGATGCCCCCAAGAGGCCCCCAAGAGGCCCCAAGAGGCTCCCCCGACGCACCCAAGACGCTCCTGGAAGCCCCTGGAGCCGCCAAGAGGCCCCCAAGACGCCCCAAACGGCCTCCAAGAGGCTCCCAAGAGGCCCGAAGAGGCTCCCCCAAGGCACCCAAGACGCTCCTAGAAGCCCCTGGGGCCGCCAAGAGGCCCCCAAGACGCCCCAAAAGGCCTCCAAGAGGCTCCCAAAAGACATCTACTACTACTCCTCCTCCTCCTCCTCCTCCTCCTCCTCCACGACGACGACGACGACGACGACGACTACTACTACTACTACTACTACTACTACTACTACTACTACTACTACTACTACTACTACTACTACTACTACTACTACTACTACTACTACTACTACTACTACTACTACTACTACTACTACTACTACTAACTACTACTACTACTACTACTACTACTACTACTACTACTACTACTACTACTACTACTACTACTACTACTACTACTACTACTACTACTACTACTACTACTACTACTACTACTACTACTGCTACTACTACTACTACTACTACTACTACTACTACTACTACTACTACTACTACTACTACTACTACTACTACTACTACTACTACTACTACTACTACTACTACTACTACTACTACTACTACTACTACTACTACTAGTACTACTACTACTACTACTACTACTACTACTACTACTACTACTACTACTACTACTACTACTACTACTACTACTACTACTACTACTACTACTACTACTACTACTACTACTACTACTACTACTACTACTACTACTACTACTACTACTGAGGGGCCCGAACGACTCGCACCAGGACGAGGTGCCCGAACGCCTCACACCACGAGGAGCCCGAACGACTCACACCAGGACGAGGGGCCCGAACGACTCACACCACGAAGAGCCCGAACGACTCACACCAAAGGAGGGGCCCGAACGACTCACACCAGGACGAGGCGCCCGAACGACTCACACCACGAGGAGCCCGAACGACTCACACCACGACGAGGGCCCCGAACGACTCACACCACGAGGAGCCCGAACGAGTCACACCAGGAGGAGGGGCCCGAACGACTCACACCAGGACGAGGGGCCCGAACAACTCACACCACGAGAAGCCCGAACGACTCACACCAGGACGAAGAGCCCGAACGACTCACACCACGAAGAGCCCGAACGACTCACACCAGGAAGAAGGGCCCGAACGACTCACACCAGGACGAGAGGCCCGAACGACTCGAACCACGAGAAGCCCGAACGGCTCACACCAGGACGAGGGGCCCGAACGACTCACACCACGAGGAGCCCGAACGACTCACACCAGGAAGAGGGGCCCGAAGGACTCACACAAGGACGATGGGGCCGAACGACTCACACCACGAGGGGCCCCAACGACTCCCACCAGTCGTCGTCGTCGTCGTCGTCGTCGTCGTCGTCGTCGTCGCCGCCTTCGTCGTCGTCGTCGTCGACGTCGTCGTCGTCGTCGTCGTCGTCGTCGTTGTGGTCGTCGTCGTCGTTGCGGTCGATATCGTCGTCGTCGTCGGGTGCGTCGTCGTTGTTAGGATCATCGCTGTGGTCGTCGTCTCCGCTAAATCCCTCTTGCCTCCCACCGCTTTCTCTCCCTCCTCCTCCGCCTCGTCCTTCTCCCGCTCCCACCACAAGGAGGATGTACAAGGAGGCGGCAGGAAGGAGGAACAGGGGAGATGTGCGGGGGCAAGCGGACACACGCCTGAAAAACACGACTGTCGGCATGCTTCGCAAGAGTTGCTGTTTTGAGATGGGCTGGTGGGGATACGCGAAGCGTGAAGAATTGCCCCAAGACGATCAAAAATGGCCCAAGAGGACCCAACAACGCCCGAAGACGTCTTCTAGAGATCCCCTCAGGAGGGCCTCGAGAGGCAAACATTTTTGGGCTTCCATTTGGTTATCACTAGTTTTCGGATCCTCGCCTTTTTTCTTAAGAGCGCCTCAGACGGCCCACGAAGCCCCTAAGATCACTCCGACACGGCCGCAATGGTGCCCAAGAAGGCCCCAAGCCGGCCCAAGAGGTCTCCCGAACAACACTAAGGCGGCCCTGCATGGCCTCAAGGGAACCCCAAAACAGCCCAGAGAGGCTTTCGAGACGGCCTCTGAAGGCGCCAGACGACTCAATATCGCCCTCAGACGACGGCCTCAGAGAGCCCCAAGATGGTCCAAGAGATCCCCAGGAGGCCTCTCAGAGGGCTCCGACAATACCTGAAACAGAAGCCAATACTGGCCCAATGACGACACCCAGAGGGCCCGCCCCCTGTGTTCGCCCTGTGGTTTCCATGACAGCTGGGGGAACACACGCAGTCCACAAGCGTGGCTGCACTTTGGCGCGACGTTTCACGGCCCAGGCGTTTCCAGAAGGCAGGGGGCGGCGGTGACTCGCCGAAGGCGTCTTCGGTACTCCACCTCGATCTCTTCTTCCTGTTTCTCTTCCTCCTCCTCCTTCTGCGTTTTGCCCCCGACCCTCGAGGATCGAGGAGGAGGGGTGTCGGATGTCTCTGGGAAGTTTTCGGCTCTCTCGCTGGGCCTCCCGCGGCCTCCGGGACCCCAGGGGTCACGGCCCAGGGCAGAAGCAACACTTGCCACATCGCCTCCTCCTCCTCCTGCCCAGTTGCTCCTCTGGGTACGCCTCGATGCCCAAGTTGCTCCTCGCCGCGCCCACGCGCAGGACGACGTAGCTCCCCTTCTCCTGGGCGTGAAGCTGCGCAGAGGCGCCCGCCTTGCGGCGGGCGTTCGGCAAGCCCCAGCCCCCGAGGCTGAGCCGGTAGCTGCCTGGCGCCATGGCCACCACGGAGCCGAAGCTGAGCTCCTGCCGATGATCCTCAGAACGTGTGTTGGCGCCAAGGTGTGCCCTGTGCACCGAAGTCCGTCAGTACGACGCCGGTGGTGTAGCGAGGGCCGACGCAAGCTGCGTGCTATCGGCGGGGCTGAGTGAGGGGAAACACGCAAACGCACAAACACACACACAAAACACACAAAACACACAAACACACACACACACACGAGCACAAACGCAAACACACACACACACACACACGCACGCACGCACGCACGCACGCACACAGGCACGCACCGCGCACACACGCCCACACGCACGCACGCACACACGCACAGGCACACAGACACAAAGACACAAAGACACACAGACACACTGACACGCAGCCACACAGACACACAAACACACAGCCACACAGACACGCAGACACACAGACACAGAGACACGGAAACACAGAGACACAGAGACTCAGAGACTCAGAGACACAGACACGCAGACACACAGACACGCAGACACACCAACACATATATACAGAGGCACACAGACACACATACACACAGACACAGAGACACGGAGACGCAGAGACACAGAGCGACAGAGAGACTGGGACATAAAGGCGCAGAGACACACACATACAGAGACACAGACACACACAAACACAGAGACTCAGAGACACACACACACAAACCCAGAGAAACATAGACACGGAGACACAGAGACTCGAAGACACACAGACACAGTTACACAGGCACAGAGGCACACAAACTTTTTAAAGTCAGCGGCGCAAAGGAAGCTCAGGCGCGGACGGCAGATCGAGGTGCCAATCACGAGCGAAATTAATCGAGGCCCACAGACACAGACACACACAGACAAAAACACAGACACACACAGACACAGACACAGACACAGACACAAACACAGACATAGATACGGACACATACACATACACAGACACACACAGACACAGACACAGACACAGACACGGACACACACACAGACACAAACACACACAGACACAAACACTGACACAGCCACAGAAACAGACGCACAGACACACAGACACAGACACACACAGACATAGACACAGACACACACACAGACACTGACACGGACACAGGCACAGGCAGGCAGTCACAGCCACAACCACAGCATCAGACATAGACACGAACAAACACAGACACAGACACAGGCACACAGACACACACACAGAGACAGAAACATAGACAGAGACAGAGACACAGACACAGGCGCCGACACAGACACAGACATAGACACACACAGACACACATATACATACATACAGACACAGGCACAGGCACAGGAACAGGCACACACAGGCACAGACACAGATACAGACACAGAGAGACACAGACACAGACACAGGCACAGGCACAGTCACAGGCACAGACACAGACACAGATCAGACACAGACACAGACACAGACACAGACACAGGCGCAGACACAGACACACGCACAGATACAAGCACAAAAACAGAGACGCAGACACGAACACAGACGCAGACACAGACATTGACACAGACACAGGCACAGGCGCAGACACACACATACACAGACACAGACACTGACACACGCAGACACTGACACACAGACACACAGACACACAGACACAGAGAGACAGGCACAGGCATAGACGCAGACACAGACACAGACAGAGACGTAGACGCAGACACAGACATACACACAGACACACAGAGACAGAGACAGAGACAGAGACACACAAGACACAGACACAGACACTCGCTTTTGGTGTCCGTGGCGCAGAGGGTCCTCAAGCGCGAGCAGCAGATGACGTGCCAATTGCGATCGAGCGTTGTCCAAGGCGCAGCGTACAAAGCGTCGCAAACTGCAACGTGCAGGCGATGAGTGTGTTCGAGGAACTGTGATCCTAGCAAAACATGCAGCGGCCAGAAAATGACACAGACACACACAGACACACACGCAGACACAGACACAGACAGACACAGACACAGACACATACATTGGGCTGACGCACGTCCTGAGGATAATCGATCCTGGGCACGACCTTTTCTGATCCTCGAGGTCCTCCTTCTCGTGGGCCGGCTCGTCGATCAGCAAGGTGGACTGCTCGGGCCCGCGGTAAGCGTCGATGACGGCCACCTGCGCGCCGCTTCCCCCGTGGAATATGTGGGAGTCGAAGGCCACCGCAGCCGAGACCTCGTCCCGGCGGTGCGGGATCAGCATGAGCAGGCTGTGCGGGTCCTCTCCCCAGGGCGTCCAAGACGGGGGTGAGGACCATGTGTGTGTTCATGAGAGGATATCATGACCTCCCCGACCGAAGGTTTTGGGCTATTTCGAATATTCTCGTGCGTTCCCTGAAAAACTTTCCAGCCTCGGGATGCCTTTCGGAAGCTGCACCTCGCCGAGAGCGTCCTGGGGGTGTCCGACTCGTCTCGAACGGCCGCCGGAGGCCCGAGGTATGACCCGAAAGCCACCAGGCGTCGAAGTGTGGTGTGAGGACCAGAGAGTGTGTGTGTATGTGTGTGTGTGTGTGGTGTGTGTGTGTGTGTGTGTGTGTTTGAACGCACGCCAGGAGGGTTTGTCCCGGCGTGCCCGCGCTGCTGTGTGCCGTCTGTTTCGTCAGTGGGTCCTCCCTGGGGATCTGGTCTCCAGTGCAAGCTGGTCGGCAAGGCCTGGAACTTGGTGCCGCTGCACCCGCCATCTGCCGGAGCTCTGTCCAGCGTGGCTCGGTTTCTTTTTCCTTTCTTGCCGGCCTTATGACCCAGTGTTGACGGGGTGTTTTACAGGGGGTCCGCCTGTGGCGCCAGGGTATCCTGTGTATGACGTTCGACAATGCCTGGACTGCAAGGTCTGTTACTATGCGGTTTGCACAGCTTCGGTGATGCACGAAGGTGGCTTCTCGGCCTGGAGGCACCGTTTGCTGCCCTTTCTGGACCTGATCTAGCTTGGCAGCCCCTCTTCATCTTTAGTGTAGCTGGCTTCGGTCTACGACGGCGCTCCTGGACTGGACCTGGTTTTTGGTCGCGCCTGGCACCATCTTCCTACGCATGTTCTTCGGCAAGACATGGTATCGGGTGGCGTCTGGCATACTCTGCCCTTGCCTGGGCACCCGTCTAGCTCGGCAGGCTCTGGTGGCCCCAGCTTCGCTGGTCCCCAGTTCCAGGCCCAGGTCTCGTCGTGGTGCCTCGCCAATTGGCGTTTTGCCCCTATCGACTTGGTGGCCGTTTGTTGCCACCCGCCGACTACTCCTTCGTCGACATGCTCGTGTCCATCCTGCACTTGCACTTCGCACCGGGCCCTCGGTGCCTGAGTCCGCCCGCGCGCCCCTCCCCCGCCGACTCTCGGCGGACGGGCCTCGTGCCTCCTTCCTCCTCCGCGGCCGCCCTCTTCTTTTCCATTCGTCTTCGCGCCCCGCGCCCGGCGCGCACCGCTGGTACCGACCCCCGCGTCGGCGATCGCCGGCGCTGCTGACTAAAGATCTCCTACGTGGGCGCCCCTTGTGGGCCGCTTCCGCACTCGCACCCGCGCGCGCACCGCAGCCGCAGACGCCCCGTCGGTCATTGGGCCCCTCGGCGTCAGCTTTGGCTGCTGCCTCGCCTCGCGGCGACTGCTCGCCACCGGTGATCGACGCCTCCCCGCGCTGCCCGCTGCCCTCCTGCCGTGGCTGCAAGTGGTTCGGCACGCGGGCCTGGGGAGGCCCGTTCACCCGACCCCCCGGCCTCCTGCCCCCCCCCCCGCGGCGGGCGGCGCGAGGTGCCATCACGGGCGGCGCTCGGCGCGAGCGGTCGCCCTCCCCCGCCTGGCACAGGCGCTTGCGGCGGCGCAGGGCCAGCGCCCGACGCGGGCCCTCGTGGAGGGCCATCACGGCGACCTTCCACCCGTGGTTGCCATGCACGGCGGTGGAGAGAAGGTCTGGGCGTGCAAGGCGACCAGGCTGTGCGGGTGCAAGACCAACTTCCCGTCCCGCACGGAGTGCTGGGCGTGTGGCCGAGATCGTGAAGGGAGGCCCACGGCCAGGACTCATGACGCCGAGCGGCAGCAAGCAGCCGCGTCGGCGCAGCAGGAGGCCTTCTCGGTCGAGGCCTTCAGATGACGGTGCTTCTCTTTCTAGCGCTGGCGGCAGTGGGGCAGCATCTACCTCGGAGTCCACCGACACGGCTGCTTCCGAAGTCGTCAGGTGCCGCAAGGCCCTCGGCCAGATGCGACGCCTGTACCAGGACAACGACGAGCACCCGCTGGTGGCACTGGCTCGCACGGAGCTCGCCAAAGCCGAAGCGGTGGCCCGAGCCAGCATGGCGCCCGACGACCTCCTGCGCAGCGCCAAGGACAGGCTCGCGGCGAAGGAGGCCGAGCACGAGGCGCAGCGGCAGAAGGCCCTCGACATGCAGACGAAGCTGGACGAGGGACAGCGACGCCTGCAGGGCATGGCCGCGGACGTGTCGGCGCTCCAGGCGGAGCTTGCCAAGGCGCAAGCCGCGGTGGCAGCAGAGGCTGCGGCGGCCACGGCCAGAGCGACAGGCCAGCAGCAGCCAGCAGCAGCGGCAGCAGCGGACGCCAGCCAGACGCTTGCGCGCTTCCAGGGACTCCTCGCGCAGGAGCAGCAGGCGGTCCAGGGTGGAGCCAGCAAGAATGCGGTGGGCGCGCAGCTCCTCGAGTCCCTGGCCCAGCAGCCGGCCCAGCCTTTGGCCCCTGCGGCCGTCCCAGCTGGCGCTGCGGCGCATGCCGCTGCCCCTGCCGCGGCGGCCGTGCCCCAGCCGCAGCAGCCAGCAGCAACGGCGAACATCGGCAGGGCGTTGCACACTGCAGCAGGAGCAGAATGCATGTCGGTGGAGGCGGCTGCCTGGGAGTTCAGCGGTAATCCCTAAATGCAGAGGTCCACGAGGTTCTAAGAGAAGAACAATCGGGCTGGTCACCTGCAATTGCAATTGCTGGACATCTTGTCAGGCGTTTTTGGCCACTGGTGCGGGGAATGCTCAGATTGTGATGGCGCGGGAACTTCGACTGGACGGAGAGGTACTGGAGAAGGCGCGTTGTTGGGCTATCTCAAGGCTGGTCGCCATGCATCTGGTCTTGCCGCAGACTCCCATCTGGAAAGCCAAGCGCTGGAGTGGCCGTCTTTGTGCGGTCTCATGTGCCCACTACGTTGATCAGTGGGCCAGGGGGAGATCGCAGTTTTGAGGTCCTTCGATCTTGGTCAGTGCTGATCCATGTGAATGTTGGCATTCCTGGAGGTTTCTTGCTGGGATCTGTCTATATGGAATCTGCCAGCGACTATAGTTATGCCGGCCAATCTGCAAAGGTACTACCGCTTGGCTGAGCATTTGCGTTTCTTTGGCTTGCCAATTCTGCTAGGAGGAGATTGGAATCTGTCGCCCAAGGACTGCGTCGAGACTGGACTCTCGGATGTTCTTTCTGGCGTGCCTATCTATTGTAGGGGCGAAGGGATATGCAGGTCAGCAGCAGGCAACTACTCAATGATCGACTATTGGATCGCCTCGAAGGGTCTCCACGCGGCCTGCCATAACCAGCGAATTCTGAAAGATTGGCCTGCTCGACCCCATCGTCCAGTTCGATGTGATCTGATGGCTCACCCTCGAAGCATCCGACAACTTGTCGTCTCAGCTCCGAGGTCCTTTCCGAGGATGTCGCCGTCAGCAGCGGGAGCGCATCCACTCGCTGTGCCGCCGCCAGATAGCCATCTATTGGACATTATTGAGGATGATGCTGCATTGAAGGTTCCCGAGACCCCGATCATGGCCCAACAGAGAATAAACGGTCTCTACACTCCCTTGGTCTCCAGTTTAGAGCAAGATATGGTACATATCTATCCACTGGAGCAGCCCGGGGCCTACAAAGGCAGAGCGACGGGAACGAAGTACTTCTGGAGGCCCCTTGGAGGTCCACGTCGGGGTCCAAGGCCTGCCGCTGGAAGTGAAGCTCGGTATCTACATGCAATTGCTCTCGCTCTCAGGGACATCGCGATCAAGTTGCCTACTGGTAAGGTCTCAGCGGAGCGGTGGACACGGCTGGGACGACTCCTTCGACCTGGACATCGCCGGGCCTTTCACACACAGGAGGCGCATGTTTTGCTGGATCAGGCGTGGCCATATATTCGAGGGGCTAGCGCCCATCCGCCCCAGTTGGCGTCGCAACTTCTGGAGGTGCTTGATGCGTATCTCACGGGCCTTGCCGAGAGTCAAGAGAAGGATGCTGCGCGTGGAAGGGTCGCTTCCTTTCACAAGTGGGCGAGACAGGCCTTTGCTTCGGGTCCTGTCCCACTCTTTCATCTCACACGCATGCGTACGTGGGTTCACAGTCAGGTCCAGCGCAAAAGAGCACTTACGAATCATCCTCAGGCCATTGCAGACAATCAGATGGACGCATGGAGTGCCTTTTGGGAGGGAGCTCCCATCACGCACCCAGCTGGCGAGAGGCCCAAGCAGCGAGATGAGACTAGTGAACCAGATGATGAGGTTGCGGAGCAGGGCATAGAAAGCGCAGCAGCCTTCATTGATGATGCCGACCCAGACGTGCTACGCGATGTGGCCAGCCTTACACCATCAGCACTTCCAGTTCCCACGATAGAGCAGGTGCGACAAGCGGCCAAGACATTTCGTTGGCGGGCTGGTCTCGGACATGATGGCATCCCACCGGAGGCGTGGTCCTTGATGTCCGACTCTACTCTGGCATTGGTCGTATATGTCTTCTGGGCGGCGGAAACCTGGGCGAGGTGGCCCACTGCCATGCTGTCGGTGCATATCATGCTGTTGGAAAAACCGCAAGGAGAATTTCGGCCAATTGCCTTGCTCCCATCGTTGTACAGGGTGTATACGAAGATGCGGATTCAACGTGTCAGAGACTGGATCAGAAAACACAATCGTCCTTTCTTTGCCTTGGGAGCTGGGCGCTCGACACTGGACGTGGGGGCCAGAACTATGATTCATTCCGAGGCGGCCTCCCAGAACAATGCCACGGCACATGATATCAGTAAATGTTAGTGTGCTGGAATCGGGTTCTGAAAGCAGCGGAGGCCACATAATTTCCAACGCCACTGCTACGCCTTTGTCTGGCCATGTGCTATGCGCCGAGGCGGATAAGGTGGGGTTCTTCTTACTCATATGCGGTTCAGGTGCAGCGAGGCGTTTTACCAGGATGCACGGTGGCCATGTTTCTTCTTCAGCTGGTGATGATGCTGCCTTTCGATGCCTTCGAATGGGCTTCCGAGGGCGACGCGGTGGCAC